AAACATGCAGAGAGAACATCTGTTTTCGTACACCAGTTGAATACTGTATTTGATAATTTAGAGATTTGTGGAATCTTACCACGCAAACTGGCTCCTCAAGTTTGTTCCCCCAGATGTAAATGTGTGTGAGACAGGAATTCACTTTCATTGCCTCGTTGAAGGACATAAGACCTTTCTTTCCGATGTTGTTGCTGGTAACAGACAATCTAGGAGGCAAAAACAATGAAATAAGTTGGACAGCATAGACAAGGGAAATAATTTTACGTATAAACGCGAGATTTTAGACATATAAAAGCATTGTTTTATAAATAAAGTACACTAACGCTTTGAGTTTGCTGTGTGGCAGCTTGATAGCTTCACTTAGATACACCGCGCCATCATCTTCAATGCGATTGGAAGAAAGATCTAGAATCTCCAAAGAGGGATTTTGTTTCAAAACCTCTGATAAGCATTTGGCTCCATCCTGTGTAATTCTGTTACTGTTAAAAAATACAGAAATTACAATTCCTCTATCTTGTAGTCATATTGTTTATTAATGAATTGAACTCATTTCATAACTGATGAACTTTACAGTTATTGAACTGAACTGAATCAACACTCAACACAATCAACCATTTTAAGCTGAATAATGATACTGTCTTTGTAGAGCTGCTTTGCAGCAGAAATAGAATTAGTCTCATATTTGATGAAGTTTGGATCTGTTATTTTGCTGTTTATTACTGTGAAGCTGCTTTGAAACAATCTATATTGTATACAGCGCTATATAAATGAAGGTGACTTGACTATTTTCTGAGAAGCACAAAAGAACTCATGTCTGAGTTGCTCTGTGCCATATAATACCTTTCACTTTCATTGTATGAAAAACAGCTACGATATTCTGCTATAAAAACTCCCTTTGCTTTCCACATGAGGGTGAGTAAACAACAGAATTGTCATTTTTTAGTGTGAACTATCCCTTTAGGATCATGAATTATGAGAATTATGTGAGTGAGTGTATACCAGCGAAGATCCAAGTAGCGTAGAGAGACGTTTAACTTCAGTGCTTCACACAGCCTTTCCACACCAGTATCAGTCATGTCATGCTTTCCCATGTGCAGCTCCCTCAGTGTCTTATTCACCACCAGTATCTGTGCCATATGGACTGTTGTTTCCTCCTATTATTTAAGTTCAATTGACTTTTAACCATTAAAAAAGACTTTTACCAAATGAATTAATAAAGTGGGTATATCAAAGCACAATTTTCCTGAAAACAAACCTGAAGACTGAAAAGAAGAGGTCGGCTAACATTAATAGCACGGATTCTTCTGTTGTTCTTAAGGACGATGGCAAATGCTATTACACTTTGTGTAGCCTAGGAAATAAACACAATACTTTAATTCAAATGTAAATTACCTTTATTTTGTGGTTACATTTATGTTCAAGAAACTTACCAGATCACAGTCTGAGACATCTATTTCTTCTAAAGTAGCATTGATCTGCAACATGGCAGCCAGTTGCAAGGCACCTTTGTTTCCAATCTTATTTCCCGTCATTCTGAGCGTCTTCAAACTTGTATTTTTCTGTAAAATTAACACAGTACATGCTAAAATCATGATAAATATTGGCATTCATTTAAAACGTATAATTAATGTATGAATGAATTTTACATTTTAACATTAATTATAAATGTGAATTAGTCACACTTACATGAAGACTTTTTGCTATCACTTCTGCACCATCTGCCTCAATGTTATTACACATCAGATCAAGAGACTGAAGGGACTCACTCTCCTGTTGAAATGACAATATTCCTTTAAAGTCTTGGTTTTAACATTTTTAGTTGGCTTAAAAATATAAACCCAAGGAAGCTCATGAATGAGTCTTTAGGAACATTCTGATGGCATACAGTACCTGAATGAGGTGTGCAATATAAACAGCTCCTTTATCTGTGATATTGTTGTATTTAAGATCTAAACCTGCAATTAAGTTTTATTTTCAGTACATTATGAAATATTGAAATTAAACAAGTACATATTTTAAAAGTACTTGATTCAGGTATAGGCAACAATGAACTTGTAAATATGTGCAGTGGTTTATGATTTCCATGACATCAAATTGTTCTGGGTAGGACGAGTTAATATTTACCCTTTATAGCCGAATTTCCCACGAGTGTTTTTGACAAGACCAGCATATCTTCATCTGTCAATCTGTCTCCATGCTTCAGTTGATCATTACCGGTTAGTCGGAGTGAGGCATCGCTGAATTAAACAAAACAACATTAATTCACAATAAAGTCGAAACGGCTGTTCATACTTTATATATTATATAGTTTCCAAACCAACCTACTAATGTTGTTTTCCAAGACTTCCAAAACACATGTATTTGGAGGCTGCTGAACTTCAGCGCATAGAGATAAATATCGATTCTTCAAGTCCTCCATGTTTCACGCTCTAAGTTGCTATGGTAACAGAAACCAAGTTTGAAGTTGCTAAGCCAACATAGAGATCATCTGCGCAATGGCGACATCTTCAGGTGGTCTGCGCTATATAATCGCATATACTGTATAGTGTGTATATATATATAGAGAGAGAGAGAGAGAGAGAGAGATGTGGGTAAAGAAACAACATATATTCGAAGTCATAGAAAATTGAAATGATTTTCTTTATGAACTTATTACACATACTCAAAATATATGAATGTTATATTCATATATTAAAAATGTGGGTGGGTGGGACAATACTCACCTTTTGCAGAAAGGGCCTTGAAAGTAGTATTGGACCTATAATAATAAAAAACTAGCCAGTTGTAATATATATTCATTTACATAAATAAAAAGAAATGGACTGTTTCTGAATTCAAATTCACAAATATTGTTTGGTAATATGATGAAATCCAGGACAGAAACCTTCCCCTAGTTGAAGAATCACCTGAATATAAAAACTACTACAAGTAATATTGATGGGTATTGAGGAAAATACACCAGTGGTCTTCACCAGATTGATTTTGTGAATGCATTACCCAAAAATATATATCAACCACAACAAATATTCAGACGTGAGATGATTTATTATAAAAGTTGCCCAGTTTGTAAGAGGATCTAAATGATTTCACATCATATATGAAATTGTTCATATAACATTATAGGTATTTACATATCATACTTCTAAAAGACAAACGCATAGTTCAAATATCAGAATGACCAAGTCAATTGTAATGTATAGCCAACACTGCCCTTTCAATTAAATAGAAAAGTATTTTTAAATGAACCCAAACGCATTTTAAGCACAGCTTTTATATCACAGCTAAACCTAAGTTTGGCCTTCCCTTCATTGCAGAAAATACTTTGCTTTTAATGATCCAGATTCTGCTCTGAATGTGACACATTTACTTAAGAAAAAAGCAAGAGAGGAGAAGCCCCACACATTCACTCAACAGCTTTGTATAACTGATATCTGCTAAGAGTTCATCATTCAAAAGCTTAGAAAACAAGTTATCTGAAGGGATGTTTATGACAAATTGCTTCCGCACTGGCGTGACTGATCCTACCCTCAGTCTTCCCTTAATGGAGAAAATACACTTAAAATGGAAGTAAAAGCTGGTATTTTAATCAATGGTCTGAACGATGACAATCTGCGTGTGCTCCATCTCAGCGTTTCCGGGGATTTCGTACTGTTCCAATACATAGCTCACTTGCTCGCCAGATTCTCCGTGTTGGATGAGAACCGGTGCTTCGGATGAGTCTGCGTGCTGGAAGATCATGGAGGGCTCTGTGCCGTCTGCATGCTGTATGATCATCTGAGGCTCTGCTGACTGTTGGATAATAAGTGAGGTTTCCGGGGGCAAAGACATTTTAATGGGAGATTAACAAATATTGCCTTTTTATGACCAGTACTAAACTCATTATTTTTATGTTTAGGTGGCCAAAAATGGATATGGAGAACCAGTATTTAATTATGCTCTTTAAAAATTAATAATAGTAATAATAATCAACAATCCACATTAAAACAATAAATCAGACTAAAACAAAACATTCTTTATAAATATTTTCCAATAATTATTGTCATCACCATCAACGGTATTACTAATAATAAAATTTAATCCAATATTAAAGAAACAATTAAGTGTGAACTCTAAAAAATATGTTACAGTATAACAATGATAATATTAAATCTAATATTAAAGAACTGATAACCATTTAAGTGTGACTATGGCTACGTTCACACTGCGAGCCTTAGTGCTCAATTCTGATTTTTGCTCAGATCTGATATTTTTGTATAGCGGTGCACATTGCTCTTTAAAATGTGGCCAATATCAGATTTCGAGTGTGAACATGGTTCTGAACTGACCCGCATGCGCAGAAAAACAATATGAACAGGGTTGCCAGGTTTTCAAAACTAAATCTTCCCAATTGCTTCTCAAAACTAGTACAAAACTGGCCCAATCGCGTTCTGGCCCAAATGTCCTGTTTACGTTTAACCCACGTAGTTGAAAAACAACCCGCGGCAACAATGAAAAAGTTGCCCAATTCTGTGGGAAAACTGTGGACTTGGCAACACTTTTGCAGCGTTTATTTATAGTGTGATCTGCCGCAGAAGCCAGCGAAATTATGCGCAGGAAATATGAAAAATAAAGACAAGTATGTGACAGAAGAAAGCAGAGTTTTGAAACTTTTATAATACGAGCCCTCATGTTTTGCTTGTATAGAGTTGTCACAGCAATACGTGAGTTCTGACACGTTACTGTACTCCATTGACAACCTTTCGCAAATGTCTCGATAGCTTTGGGTATGTAAAAACTTTCAAGTGACTCCCATGAGTGCAGAATCGTGACGAATGTCGACCTAGAGTGACGTAAAAGTCGCATGAATGCCGATATGACTGTTCACACTGCGGTGGAAGTGGCACAAATCGGAATTGAAAAGATCAGATTCCATGTGGTCTGTGCTGTTCACACTGTCATAAGAAAAACAGATCTGAGTCACATGTGAGCAAAAAAAAATCGGATTTGGGCCACATTTGCCTCTAGAGAATCAAAGCCCTTGTGGCAGCACATTCATGTACATGTGTAATTTTATCACTGAAATTAAACTGGAATTATGCTCATGAACTGCACTGCACATACCTTATGTGAATTTTCAGATTGCTCGATGTGGCAAAAGCTGCTCCACAGAAATCACATTTATGTGGCTTTTCTTCTCCGTGATGCATTCGGCAATGATAGACCAGCTGACATTTCTGAGAAAAACATGCCTCGCAAGATGTACAACTGAAGGGCTTCTCTCCTGAAAACAAAATAATACATGAATCACTTCACATAAACCTATCAGCAAAGTTATGGCAATGTACACTACAGTTTGGTGTTAAGATTTTAGATTTTTTAAAAGAAATGAATACTTTTACAGCATGGATGCATTAAATTGATGAAAAAGGGACAGGAAACACATGTATAATATCACAAAAAGATTTATATTTCAAATAAATGCTGCTCTTTTAAATTCTATTCAGCAAAGAATCATAAAAAAATTGTATCACCGTTTCCGCAAAAATACTAAGCAGCACAATGGCTTTCAACATTGATAGTAATAATAAATGTTCCTTGAGCACAAAATCAACATATTAGAATGATTTCTGAACAATTATGCGACACTGAAGACTGCAGTAACAGCTGCTGAAAATTCGGCTTTGCCATCACAGGAATGAATTACATTTTACAATATATTAAAATAGTAAACAGTTATTTTAAATTGTAATAATATTTCAAAATATTACTGTTTTACTGTATTTTTGTTCGAACAAATGTGGCCTTTAAGAGCATAAGAGACAAAAACATAAAAATAAAAAAAATCTAACTTTTGAACAGTAGTTTGTGATTAACAAACATGGACATATACTATAGTTCCACATTTTTTGTTATCAAATCTATCAAATAAAAGGCACATTTATTCAAGTGAATAAGTGTATTAATGCAGTGTACCTTCTACACATGTGAGTCATACCTGTGTGTATGCGCATATGGGTCTTCAGCTGGTTGCCCTGTCTGAAGGAGCGGGTACAGAGCTGGCACTGATAGGGTTTGAGGCCCTTGTGTATGCGCATGTGTCTGCGCAGACTGCTCATCTCTGAGAAGAGGTTCCCGCAGACGTTACATATAGGCCTGTGTTTGTCCTGCAAGGGCTTCACTTCCTCTTCTCCGGCCCAGTCCTCTTTGTCATTGCCAAATTCTTCATCCTCTACATCGTCTTCTTCCTCATTACTAGCTTGGCTTTCTTTTAGCTTTCTACTCAAGCTTCTTTTCCTGTTGCTGGTGCGGACCTTCTTTGCAGGATTTGACTTTGAATCTTCTGTACATTGAGATGAGCATTCTTCAGTGTGTTTCTCAGCGTCTTGGTTTGTTTCTCCACTGGCTTCTTCTCCACTGTTCTCCACCTTATCTGTTGGATTGGAAGATTCAGGTGCCTCAGAAGAAAGAGGTTTGGATCGAGGTCTTCCTCTTTTACGGCCGGTCCCTTCATTCTCTTTTGTCTTTGCAGGTTCTGAACCGTCTTCTGTGTCTGTAGTTGCGTTCTCAGTGTTTGTGGTTTGGTTCTCAGTAGTTAATGGCTTAGTCCGCGGTCTTCCTCTTCCTCGTTTTAAAAGACCTCCGTCTGGGTTTTCCACATCAGTCTTTACCTGACCGTCATCTTCCTCCCCAGCATTCACAGAATCTTCTTCAACAACCTCTGTTTCTTGGGCGTCTCCTTGTTCCTCTTCTCCACTGTCTCCTTCTGCACCAGATGCTAGGGGTCTAATTCGTGGACGTCCTCTTTTGTGAGCAGAGCTCTCTTCTTGATCCTTGGTTGCTACAGACTCATCTTCAGCGTTTCCAGAATCATCTCTATCAGTGGACAGTGGTCTAACCCGTGGACGACCTCTTGGTCTTCCGGTTCCTCTCCCTACTGAGCTGCTATTTTGACTCATGGTTTGCTGCGCTGGAGATTGTTCAGTTGAATCAGAAGTCAATGGCCTCACCCGTGGGCGACCTCTCGGTCTCCCCCGACCTCTTCCTCTGCCTCTGTGAGAAGTGATGGTCTCACTCTCAACATCATCCAGCCTAGTTTTGGGTTTCCTCCCTCTCTTGCTGCCGCTTCTCTGCGGTGTCTGTTCACTAGATGACTGGGCTTCATCATCCTGTAACCCATCTTCTTTCTTTTCCCTCAACCGCTCCCGTTCTTCCACCTCTGCGATCGGCTCTAAAGGTTCGTAGTCGTCTGGGCTCAGGGGGGACCTTGGATCTTCGTACTCCGCTTGTCTTGTGGGTGAGCCACCAATTTTTATATCATCTTGAATTAGTGTACAACGAGCCACAACCTCGGGCATCCCAAGATAAGAAGCAGCTTTCTGAACACTTTCAATTTCTTCTCTGAGGACAAAAAAAAAGCACAGGAATTTCTAATGTATAATTATATAAATGTCACTATATTTACTATATACACTATATAAATATATATTATTTTTAATCTATAAAAGTAAAGTTTCAGCCAAAATAACAATTAGCAGATTAAATAGCTCATAGCACAGTAAAAATTTTATAGATTATGGTAGAGTAAAAATAAAAATTTATATTTACTACTGAAAAAACTAAACTTCATAAAATGTATTTCAATGACTTCCATGATTTCCAAAATACATTTACATATTATACACATATGAACATTTACATACACTATATAGTCAAGTAAACAATTTTTAAAAAGTCATGGCAATATTTTCAGTAGTGAATATGAACATGCAATGAAATATTTAATCGGCTAAATATTATTAAATATTTGGCTAAAACAGTATATTTATATATTATCCATATATAAATATTTAATTTATGTATATATATATATATATATATATATATATATATGTATATATATATATATATATATATATATATATATACACACACACACAAAATGCAAATATGTATATATATTTATATATATATATATTTGTTTTAAAAAATCTATGGCTAAAAACTATACAAAAATATATATTCCAGGTTAAGAATATATAAAAAATATTTCCAGGTTTTAGGAACAGTACATATAAATATAAAACTACATACAGATAACAATAAATGTATAGAAATAGATTTCCATGAACTCACCTGTCCATACTCAAGTCCCCAGTGTAAATGTAAGTCAGTAGTTTTTCAAACACAGCCCCGCTCACCAACTCTGGGTCCAAAGTTATGGTGGCATTCTCCTTTCCGGCATCAATAGACTGCGTAGAGAAATACTCACTAAAAGCTGCCAGAACATTGTGGTGTGCATGATATTGAGACTGTCCTATTGTTACTGTGCAGTCACACAGAAAGCTTCTCTCACGTTGTCTCTTCAGCTGCTCCAGAAGAAACTCACTGTGAGTGATATGTGGCATGTCTTGGAAGAGGAGCAACCTGCAATGTCAAGAACATCTTATAACATCAGCCACTACTGAACATCTTAAAGAGATGGTTCACCCAAAAACAGAAATTCTGCCATTATTATTGATTTGCATTGCATCCTCTTTCCATATAATAAAAGTGGTGAGTTATAGTAATAAAGGTTTGGAACAACATAATGATGAACAACATGAATACATTATGAAATTATTTCCATTTTGGGTGAACTAGACTTATAATGACCGTATTTTATATGCAACAGAATTGCAAGCAATAAACAAAATAACTAAAATAATTTACTAACTGCACGTAAATTTATAATGGTTTAAACCACACCCAAAAACCTGTGTAAATGAAACAGACATGCGTCTAAAAATGAAGAAAGTGTGCATATATAAATTAACCAATAACTCGATATAAAATGAGCGATTCTTTAGGCTTGATAACATCAGTTAAGGAAAATAAAAGTTCCCGCCCATTACTCAAAAGTTGGCTGCAATAACGAGCTTGCCGACAAACTATCACCATTAAAGGTCACTCAAAATATTATACAGCACCCAATAATTATAGTCGTAAATATGCACTAAAATAACTAAACGCACTGTTCTCTGAATGGATACAGAGGGGAATGTTTATCATTTTGACATGCAAAACAAAGGGCTCTTATTTCGCAAATGCTCGATCCGGTAGAGCGCAGGCTCGGTCTATATATTACAAACACAACACCGAGTCGTGCAATAATTATTTTAATTACGTGATTAATAAATATAAAGTTAAATTCGAATTTTTAATAAAAATTCAGTTCTCACGTTATTTCGACAGTAGATTAAAATCGCTTTGCTTTGACGGCCATTTTCGAGGTCTTCAAGCGGATTTGGTCTGTGACGTAATATCCTCCCGTCTGAACTCTTTCCGGTGTTTGAACCTGTTTTTTTACAGTCTATGGGTTGAACCAAAGAGACAGCTGTAACCATTAGGTGGAGCCAAACACACAAATGTCCAGAACAGTGTTGCCAACTTAGCAATTTTGTTGCTAAATTTAGCAACTTTTCACACTGCCCTAGCAACTTTTTCTTCCAAAAGCACCAAGCAACAAATGTAGCTATTTTTTTTATTATTTATTTGGCCATTTTTAGCAACTTTTGATAAGTGACTCAAATGATAAAAAGGCACACATTTTCCATCTAAATTACACAAAATGAGGAAACCAAAGATGCCTAGCAGTACACAGATCACATGAATTAAGTTAGCTTCTATTAGCAATTGCTCAATTTAATCATAATAAATGTAATATTGCTCATTTGTGATACACCTTATTAGTAGCTTGTGCCTGCGATTAGTACACTGCAAGAAAAATATCTAGAAAAATGGAAAAGGTACTAGTAATTTTCCAGGACATTATCCAGTTATAGTAATAAAGGTTTGGAACAACATAATGATGAACAACATGAATACATTATGAAATTATTTCCATTTTGGGTGAACTAGACTTATAATGACCGTATTTTATATGCAACAGAATTGCAAGCAATAAACAAAATAACTAAAATAATTTACTAACTGCACGTAAATTTATAATGGTTTAAACCACACCCAAAAACCTGTGTAAATGAAACAGACATGCGTCTAAAAATGAAGAAAGTGTGCATATATAAATTAACCAATAACTCGATATAAAATGAGCGATTCTTTAGGCTTGATAACATCAGTTAAGGAAAATAAAAGTTCCCGCCCATTACTCAAAAGTTGGCTGCAATAACGAGCTTGCCGACAAACTATCACCATTAAAGGTCACTCAAAATATTATACAGCACCCAATAATTATAGTCGTAAATATGCACTAAAATAACTAAACGCACTGTTCTCTGAATGGATACAGAGGGGAATGTTTATCATTTTGACATGCAAAACAAAGGGCTCTTATTTCGCAAATGCTCGATCCGGTAGAGCGCAGGCTCGGTCTATATATTACAAACACAACACCGAGTCGTGCAATAATTATTTTAATTACGTGATTAATAAATATAAAGTTAAATTCGAATTTTTAATAAAAATTCAGTTCTCACGTTATTTCGACAGTAGATTAAAATCGCTTTGCTTTGACGGCCATTTTCGAGGTCTTCAAGCGGATTTGGTCTGTGACGTAATATCCTCCCGTCTGAACTCTTTCCGGTGTTTGAACCTGTTTTTTTACAGTCTATGGGTTGAACCAAAGAGACAGCTGTAACCATTAGGTGGAGCCAAACACACAAATGTCCAGAACAGTGTTGCCAACTTAGCAATTTTGTTGCTAAATTTAGCAACTTTTCACACTGCCCTAGCAACTTTTTCTTCCAAAAGCACCAAGCAACAAATGTAGCTATTTTTTTTATTATTTATTTGGCCATTTTTAGCAACTTTTGATAAGTGACTCAAATGATAAAAAGGCACACATTTTCCATCTAAATTACACAAAATGAGGAAACCAAAGATGCCTAGCAGTACACAGATCACATGAATTAAGTTAGCTTCTATTAGCAATTGCTCAATTTAATCATAATAAATGTAATATTGCTCATTTGTGATACACCTTATTAGTAGCTTGTGCCTGCGATTAGTACACTGCAAGAAAAATATCTAGAAAAATGGAAAAGGTACTAGTAATTTTCCAGGACATTATCCGTTATCCATTATTCATTATCCATACAATGCGTAATTTAAAATGCAGGTAAAAAAAAACTGTGAAAAATCTATACGGAAAAATTCCTTCATATTAATATAGTAGACTGTGCCCTATTTTTACAGATATTTTCTTAGAATGTAGCATAATAACTAACTGCTAATACACTGCTTAAAACTATAATGGTTCAGAATGTGTAGTTTACTAGCTAAAAAAAACAACAACTTTAATTGTAGGCCCTAATTGTTAAAAAACGTGTAAGCCAGTTTTAACAGACAATGACATCCATTTCAGTATATAAACGCACTTCATTTATCCTTGTGAAGAGATCTCATCAATCACAATATTCGATTTCAGATATTGTTAAGTTTTATTTATGAAATTATTGGATGCAGGAATAATCTTTGGGTCTTTTCTACAGATTATAGTCACTAAACAATTCTAAACATCTTCTATTGGACTTTTTACTCTTGATACTATTAATCCCATGTTTAAAAAGACATTAACCCAGGGTTAAAGGTTGTATGAAAAGATCTTTAGTAAATTTGCTTGAATCCTGGGCCGAAGCGACAAGGAACACGTCTCCACAAAGAATTAACCAGGAGTGGTTGGCCTATTAAAGCAGCACTATGTAACTTTTTCTGTGTTCAAAATTTGCAAAATGTGTATAATGAGCGAGTACATCATGAATTCATCTTCCAAACCGCGTTTTTGTCTTATTCTGAATCACTACGGTACACTTATAATAAGTACTTATATTTGGACTATTGCAGCCAGACCCTTTTGGTAACTTTGATAAATAATATCTCTTTGGTTTTGAAACTTTAGTCTTTGCAACTTCAGGGATCTTATCTATGCACAATCAGCTTGTAACACTCCAAAGAGAAAGGAAAACTTGAAATCGCATCATATGACCCCTTTAATATCAACAATGTGACAGTTAACCAAATGGGCGGAATACTATAAAGGTATTTAATTTTACTTAATAATCAAACTTACATAACAATATCAGTAAATAATATTTGTTTAATGATAAACAACTGCCTACTACCATGGTTACCTAAATCACTTAAAAAAGTTATGTCACTCGCTGTCATTTGTTTATTGGACTCAAGAAGGACATAATTTAGTGTCTGGCTGCAGCCCATGGGAAAGTCTGATTGTCAGTTTTATTAATAAAATCTGCTGACTATAATCTTCACAAATAAACTGATTGTAGCCTAGTCACCTGAGCCATTTTGTCACTGTTTTAATACAAACGGTCTGGGCCAGTGGAGAAGGGCAAATAAAGAGACCCAATCTTCTGTAACAGCACACACCCTGTCACTGCAATACTGCTCCCATGATATCTATTTACATAATCAGCTGCTTTTTCTTACAACACAATCTCAGTCTGTTACGAGCGTCTCCTCCTCTCTTGTCAGCACTCAGTTACTGGACCAGCACACACGCAACACCTTCAGCTCTGTGTTTAACAACAGGTTCATCTGGAACAGGTATCAATTTACTTTGCATTGTTATTAAGTCTGTTTTGTGATATTATACTAAATCATAATTCTATCATCTATTATCATTTTCTGGGTATACTTGTATTGTGTAGCTGTCAGTGTTGGGCTAGTTACTCAAAGAATGTAATATAATACTCATTACTAGTTACTCATTTCAAAAGTAATATTGTTACTTATTACTTTCTGACAAGAGTAATTAGTTACACTACTAGTTACATTACTTTTTCTTCACACCCCACAGAAGTTGTAACTGTGTATCTTCCACATACAATTCTAGTAATTGAAGGTAACATTCAAGTAAAAGTGTTGTATTGATCTCATTAATTGTCATGTGTAGCTTGAAGCTAATTGTAATTTCTCCGTTACCAATATACGATTATATTATTATTATGTATTTGATCAAATCACATAAGTTTGTAAGAAAATGTTTTAATAGTAATATAACGTACCACATGCTGATCAGAGGGATGTGGGTGGGATGTAATGCCAGAGTAAAGTAAAGCCATAAATTACACAACAGTGTTCAGATCATCTTTTTTCCTGACAAAATCAATATAAT